TATTAGTTGGAAACATATTAGATAAACGCAAGTCTAGGCTGGTGCATAAATATTTAAAGCTCACATTACACAGAAATATCAGAAGAAAAAGGGCGGGGAGAGCTAATAGTTCTTCGTATAAATATGGCTAGACATAAAGCATTCTAACATGTAATTTTCTTGAGCAACATATGATTTTATTACTTTGACAGAAATTATGACATTGTTAAATTTCAAAGGAAATATAAGAAATAAACTCATTTACACTTGTTTTCAATGTTAAACAACCAGAGGGCCTGTGAATCTTTCCAATGCTTCCTTTTGGATTCTTAGGTAATAGTGGATGGCTGGGATGTGTTGGCAAATTTTAAATATTACCGACTGCCTATTTTCCATATTCATATATTTTAATGTAACTCCAAGAGAGTGAATTTTATCTCAAAATTCTTCAAGAGCTGCCTTCAAATCATCTTTGTGCATATGTTTACGGCGTACCCTTGATGTCCTCCGCCACAGGTACTGCTGTGCTGGAAGCCGGTCGTGGAACTGAATTGAATTACTGGATTTGAGTTTAAATGAACCCATCTGAGAGACCCAGGTCTGCGCTTTTTATGGCTTCTCTCAATGACTTGTAATTAAAGCAAGAAAGGCAGGAAAGTAAAACAACAATCACCCACCATGAACAAACACCAGGTTCCCGAACATAGCCCCACCGAATGTTCCAGCGGTGCCCGGATATTTCCGGATGGCCTGCCTCTAGCACATGGTGCTCCAGCGAGCCAGTGCTCGAAGCCCTGTATGCGCAGAGGACTCTACTGGCAGCAGAGATGGATGCTTTGAGCCAAACCATTCCTCAGCCCCTTTCCGCCCAGGCCGGCGACCAGCCTGGGTTGCGCGCTTTTTCTCCGCTCTGCGCCCGGGGAGATGTGAGTGAAGCGGCTCCCCCATCCACCTGGGCGCCAGCCCTCAGCACACCCCAAGCTTGTACAGAGGGGGACCTACTCGCCGGGACTCGGTGTCCACCCTTAATCCTGACCGGTTCAGGCCCAGCACAGGAAGCGGGGCGGGGCTGGGCTTTAGGGGCGCCGCCTGCCCAAGATGCGTGCCACGTGGCCCTCCCTGCGCGGACCCCAAACCCCGCGTGTCCAGCTGCGGCCTCAGCGGCTCGCAGAAGCGGGCTCCCAGCTTTAGGGCGGGGCCTCCTCCTCGCCCGCCGCCTGGACGTCGGCTCCCACCCCACTGTCAGCCCGGAGCCCCAAGGCCAGGGTCGTTCACGTTCACTGTGGCTTCTCCCAGGACCGCGGTGGCCCAACCTTTGCTGGATTCCAGGCGGGGTGTTTCGGGATGGGGTGAGGGCGGGGGTTGGGAGCCTGGCCGGAACTGGGGGTCTAGGGTCCCTGCGCCCTGGAGTCTTCGGGTGTCTCCTGGTCGAGTCCAAGAGCCCCCGACCTAGGCCTCTGACTTCTGGCCGAAGTCCTCCCTCTCTCCAGATTGCAGCGTCCGAGGCTGGAGGGAAGCTCGAGTCCTGCCCAGGCCAACCTTTTCTGCGACTCTTTTCTCTTCCTGTCTCTCTGCTCAGGATCTCTGCCTTCTCCCGCTCAGAGAAGGCCAGAGCGTGCGGGGGACCAGGGGAGCTCCGCACCGGCCCCTTCCTTGCGCCTCCAGCCTGCCTCGGTGCTGTCCCTCCTCGGTGCTGTCCTCCACTCTCCCCATGTTCCTCCCCTATAGATCCCCCCCACCGCATTCTCTGGCCGGTTTAGCCAGCACGTCTTTCTGCCTCTGAATGTGTCTCTTCTCTCCCCGGTGCAGCATTAAACAAACCCACGTGTATGGAGGTTCAGGTTCCGGCAGTGTGGACAGAGAGAGTGCCTCCTCTGCCTGTGGAACACACAGAGGGAGCACTCTGGTTTGGCTTCCCGTGGACCTGGTGCCAACCAGGCCGCGGCTGCCTACGTGCCGGCTCCCCCCTTTCTCATTCGCTGGCTGTGTGCGTCGGCTCGGCTCAGGGAGTGGATCCCTCTGTCTATATGGTTGCAAACCAGGGCAAGGCTCTCCAAAACGGGGAGTGGATCCCTCTGTCTCTGGTTGCAAACCGGAGCAAAGGTTCTCCAAACCGAAAGCTGAGCGGAGTTGGGTTTCTAGCATCCTAGGGCTGCGGACGAGCGAAATGGGAGGTGGGGGTGGGGCTTTTCCTGGGGTCCCCGCCGCCTCTCTGCTCCTAGAGTCCAGGCACCCCTGGCGCCTGCCCAGTGGCTCTGGAGCCGCAGCGTCGATTCCGTGTGCTCCGAAGAGGTGTGCCACCTGCTCCGCGGCGGGGCGCCGGCCTCGGTCTCACGCAGCGGGAGACGGGGAGGTCAGGAGCACAGAAGCAAGATGAACCCACAGCAGACAGGGCGGGCAGCAGACCGCGGCAGGGCCTGGGTATCCCGAGAGGAGGGAGCGGGCTCTGGGAATTCTGACCTGGGCACCGGAACCACGGGACCCCGGCAGGAGTGTAAGGGCGGGCGAGCGCCCCTTTGGGAACGCACACTTGTTTTGCTTTGGTCTGGAGCTCGCGAGTAGGATGCGACAAGGCGGCGGCGCGGGGCTCAGGTATTTGGGAACCAGGCAAACGCACCATTCGTGATGCTTGGCATAATCCTTCACCCTTCCTGGGCTCGGAATGGGAACGGAGGAGTGTCCGGTGTTCTCTCCTTCACCTCAAAGCCCCGCAAAGCCAAAACGCACACGCCACACTCACAGGAGCGCCCGGCAAACACAAACACTAAAAAGCCAGCGCACGAAAACATAAACCCGAATCCCCATCCAAACGCACGGCTCGTTAAAAAAAAAAAAATCAAAATCGAAACAAACAACACACACACACAAAATTCACCTAACACAACACACACAAATGACACCCACTGGTGTAAACATCAGAACCTATCAAAGTAGAAGGAACAGGCTTCAAACAGGACAACCTATAAGAAACAAAGTTTAAAACCCACACCCCAAATCAAAACCCACCCAAACGATCAAGACTCACAGAGCAAAGCCCGATAAAATGAAATCCACGAAAAAAACAACACGCAAAACACCCAAACAAAAGACTCACACATAATTTAAAAAAGAAAAAACAACTCCCAGAAAACAAAACCAAACAAACCCTCCAAATAGAAAAAAACAAAACAAAACAAAAGGAAACCCCACCGACCCCCACCCCCATCCTCGGGTGAACTGTCAGGTCCGGAAGGGCTTTTGATCTCTGGGTGCGGGCAGGCCGGCGGTCGGGAAGCAGAGGCCGGGCGGCGATGGGAAGAGGGGAGAGCGCGGCGCTCCGAGATGCCCCCAAATCAAACCGCCGAGCAGGGACCCCGGCCCGCAGGCTGCAGAAAGGAGGCGGCGGAGGGTGACTGCGCAGACTAGAGGGAGGTGGGGGGGGGCCGCCCGGGAAGTCCACCGCCACGTTTCCGATGGTGGCGAAAATCCGCTAAGCGATGTCCGGTGCTCGCCGCGCTCCCACCCCTGTCCTCGGGCTCTGGGCTCTTCTCTCCCCACCCCCACTAGGTTGCGCGGCCCAGCCTCGAGACCATCCCCTCCAAAACAAAACAAAACAAAACAAAAAACCCAAAACAAAACAAACAACACTCTCGATGAAGACGATTCACTTTCCCGAAACTGCCATTGTCCGGCGGGCCAAGCGTCCTTCTATGGAGCGCTGCCCCGCCCTGGAGAGCATCTGGACTCGGGGTTGGCGGGGGAGGGGGGAGTAAGGGGAGGGAAGGCTTGAGCCTGGGCCGAAGAGAGCGGGCTGGACATGCCACACCTCTGCCAGGCCTCTCTCGGGCTGGTTTCCCCTCTAGAGCCAAGTCCAGGGGCGCCGGGACGACGCCAGCCACGTCTCGGGGCTTGAGGGCAGAGGGATCCCATGCATGGGCCGGGGTAAGGTGTCCGGGACGCCTGTCCATCACCTCCAGGACCTCCTGAGATGGTTCTGCTCAGCCCGGGTGCCCCACAGCGGAGGGCCGGGTTTTATCTCCAGCATTGCACATCTTAGCTTCTGTGCTAACGGGCCAGGATGAGGCGTAGTGTGGGGACAGCTGCGGCCAGGGGGCTGAGGGGGACCTGGAGGCTTCAGGCTTCTCTAGAGTTAGGGACCCAGCAATAGCCATAGCAGCTGCCAGTGAGGGTGGGGGTGGGGAGCTGGGAGCCCTGGGGGGCGGGCGCCGCCCTAGGGGTGAACCTGAGGAAACTGAACGCCTGGCAACATCGCCTGTTTTTGCATCCCCCACTTCCAAAGCACCTGCCTAGCAGATTGGTTAATTTCTTTAAAAACAAAAACCAGGCCTGCACACGCCACCTTCGCAGCCGGGGCTGCACCCAGAAGGGTCACCGGTGGAGAGGGCCGCGAAGCCAAGTCGCAGGGGTCTGTCTGCAGAAGGTGCTGCCTGGAGGAGGCCGGGGCTCCAGGCTCGCCTCGGGTCGGTCGGCCCCTTCCCGTAAGTGCGCGGGCTAGCTAGCTACCGGCTTTCTGAAACCTTCCTTCTCTCCTCCCCCACAACCCCTTATAAAAAGTCCGGGGCGGCGTGGCTGCGACACTGTTGCTCTCCGGGCCTTCAGCGCTGCTCCGGCCCGCCCCGTCCGGCCCGCAGGGCAGCCCCTGTGCGCAGCGCGGACCCCTTGCCCGGCTCCGGGGCCGGTAAACGCGGGGCCGCACGCTGGGGGCGCGGCGTGTCTGGGGACATCTTGTGATGTTGGCGAGAACAGGACATGATCTCACATGGCGAGAAGCTCTTTAGTTCCTTAATCATTTCACGGTGCCTTCGGACGCTTTTTTTTTTTTTCCACCTAAAACGTTTAGTTTCAGCTCAGTGATCAGCTGCCCCAGCTCGGCGGGGGAGCGGAAGGCTTGAATTATTCCGACCTGTGAGCAGCCCCTGACACCAAGGAAAGAAAAAAAAAAAAAAAGGAGCACAAAAAAAAAAAAAGTGGAAACTTTTCCCTCCCCTGTCCATTCCATCAAGTTCTGAAAAAAAATCAAAATGGATTTAGAGAAAAATTACCCAGCTCCTCGGACCGGCAGGACAGGTAGGACCGCGATCCCGCTCCAGGCGCGCTAACTGAACTCAGGGACCCAGCTGGGTGCGGGTCCTCCCGAGCTTCGGCCCTGGGGGAGGGGGCCTCATTTTTTTTTTTTTTTTTTTGGCAGGATGGACTGCCTGCCTGTCTGTGGCACGTTTGTGTGTCTTTTCACCAGTCTATGCACGGACTTCTGCACCATTTCAAGTGTCAGAGAGTTTGCCTATTTTTCTTCCATTTCGGAATATTTATGTTAGGTGTCCGTCTGGGGGTCTGAAAGTTTGGTTGGGTCTGTGTGTTTACATATGGGTTTCAGAGTGTGCAGGAGTGACAATGCGTGTGTGCGTGTGTCCCTCTATACAAGATTTTCAAATGTCTGAGCGTGTGTACTCATGAGTTTATGTGCCTGGGTGTTTTTATATCCACGCATGTGTTAGTGTGTTTATGAGTTGGTTGTTCCTGAATACTGTTCTTTTGTATCCAAAATGTGTGTCATATATATATAATTTGGATAAGTCTTTGAGTGTATATCTACTCTTTCTAAAGGTCTGTGTTCATCTGTCATATTCTAAGTAATTTTGGAAGTGGAGAAAGATGTGTATATGTCAACAGCTGTTCCCTGTGTACATGCCTATATACACAAAAGTGCCAACCTCTGGGCACAGGGATGGGTCTAGGGCCTGTGGGGTTCTGTTGGGCTAAGCCTGTGAACAGGCTCAGGTCCCGTTCTATTAGGAGAACCAGGAGTGAAAGTGTGAATTCAGGAAAAGTCCTCTGGGCAGACCCTCAGTGTGTTGTGTGCACTGCTTCTCTCTGTGGGCACCGTTGAGCCTACCATTTGTAGAAAAAGGTCTCCAGCAACAGGCACAGCATGGGCAGGTGAGAGAGCAGGCAAGCCTATACGTTAGTTGAGACATTTCTAGGGACCCCCACCTGCCTTTGCTTTCACCCAGACCAGCCTCTAACACCAGTGTGTGTGTGTGTGTGTGTGTGTGTGTGTGTATGTGTGTGGTGTGCCCAGGTTTCCTCTGTGGGTGCCCCTCCAAAGGAGGGGAACAGAAGGAGGGTGGACATGTGTGCCTCCTCTGGGCATCCAGTTCTGGTGCTGGTATGCAGACAGGCCTTTCTGACAGACCCAAGTGTGCCTCCCACAGGCCCAGGCAGTGAGGAGCAAGATGTGTTTATATCTGAGAGGAGGTGAAAGGCAGCAGGAAGCCTCTGTTTGCCCTGAGGTAAAAGCTGGGTATAGGAGCCTCTTCTACTCCGTAGGCCAAGTGTGCTAACCCATGCCCTGGGCAAGAACTTCCTTTCCCCCATTCCTGTGGATCAATGAGCTCCCATCTGTCCATCAGCCCTAAACATAGGACAGAAAGCAGGAGAGAGGTGATTTCATAGCCCAAACCCAGGACAATTCCCAGGGCTTAGATGCTTTTCCAAAACTGTGAGTGACAAGAAGTTGGGGCGGAAATGGAAGAGGCAGAATGTAAGAGGATCCCCCAGGTTGAGAGTGCAGGAAGGGAAACTGTGTGCTCTATCCCCACTTTTCCCTCTTTCCCCCAGTGGGTCCCTGAGGAAGTGGGACTCCCAGAGGTGCCTGTGCTGGGATGAGGATTTGTTTGTGTTGGGAATGGGTGAGTGTGCGGGGGCTGGCCCCTGCTACCTTTTCCAACGAGCTGTCTACAAAGAATGTAATTCATGGCAGTCGATGGGATCTTTGATTAGTTCAATTGCCTGAATAATCGTTTAATCAATAAAGCATTTCATTCCTCATGGAGATGGGTCTGAGTGGGCCTGGGGAGGGGCAGTTAGGCTGGCCAGAGTTGAAAGTTCTAAGAGCCACGCCCCCTCTTCACTGACGGGTTAGAGAAAGGGTACCTGTCCCAGGTAGCTGGGAACATCTCAGGTGACACTGCCCTTCAGCTTGTCTGCCCCAGCCTGGGCCCCACTAGGGAAGAGGAGAGCCAAGAAGCAGTACAGGCTGGGGCATCCAGGTCTTGTTTTGGGGTTTTTACGTGGACTTCCTCCCGCTCCTAACTTCCAGGCCTTTTATGGGCCTCTTGACCTCCCTTTCCTTCCTTCAGAACTATATTCCATTCTGTTGCTCGATCTCAGTTCCCCATCTTATACAAGGGGGAAGGAATCTATGCCCTTCTAGTTTTAAGCACAAGATCGGCTGAGGTCAACCCTGAGCAGGGAGCCACTTAAAGATTTCCTTGTGTAGTTTTTTTTTTTGTTTGTTTGTTTTTTCTTGTGGTACCAAAAAGGAAAATCAGGTCCAGAGAGGGGTAAGGACTTGTGGAGGACTTTTCTGACCTCTGACCTCTCATTTCTGCTGGAGGAACAACACCCCCCCCCCCCAACACCCCTCCCTCCGCCTCTTGCCTCCATGGGCATCCTTGGAGAAAAACTATAATTGGGCAAGCCAGCTGCTGTGCTAGTTAAGGCTCCCCAAGGCCAGGGAGACCAGGATAGGTGATGGCTCCAAGCCCTCCAGTCTAGAATGAGGCTATGAATGACGACAATATTCTCTACCCCCCGGATCTTCATCTTTCAGAACCTTGAGAAGCCTCATTTCAGGGGTTCTTCTCCCCATTAGATTCATGGGGAAACTGAGCTCTAGGAGAAGGGCACCACCGCCTAAAGTCTTTAGCCAGAGAAAGGCAGTCCCAGAGGTGCCCGGCAGCGCCTGGCCTTTGGTGTGCGCTGGTAACGGGGGAAAAAAAAAAAAAATCCTCACAGAGACCATTGGCATGGTTCTCGAGAAATCTGGTTCAACTCTTCTCTTTTGTCACTCACTCCCAAGATTCTTACAGATGGACCTGGGCCAGGCATAGCAGACCCCTGACCCAGGTGCAGGCATCAGCTCTGACCCCTGGCATCGGTTGTTGTTTCTTTTTGACGTTTTTGAAATGAGGATTAGGGAGGACCCACCCAGTTAGGACAGCGATGGCTGTCACCTCTGCCTGAACTGAACGGAGCAGCCAGTCTGAGCTCCGGGCGCCTCGCTTTGCCTGAAGCAGGAGCAGGGAAACGGGCTGGCCTCGGGCTGCGGGAGATGATCTCAGGCCTGCAGAGCTGTGGCAACCGGCGCCGCGGGGCGCAGGAGGAGGGGCTGCGCGCCGGACAGCGGGGAAGCGGGAGGGAATGTGTCAGAGTGAAGCCAGGTTAAGTGGCTGAGGACTGAGGGGGTCCTTTCTCTGAAGGCGTTTTGGCTTCTCAAACATTGTTCTCCATGGGCTTTCTTTCAATAGGAAACTTCCAACGGCAATTCCATTTACATAAATTGGGTTTCTTCCCGGAAGGATTCGTCCCGGGTCTCCTGCCTCCAGCGCTTCGTTAGCACAGAGTCCAGCCCAAAGTCCTGCTGCGGGGAAGCGGGGTGCAGGGGTGGGAGATTTGGGAAGGGGGGACACACGGAGGATGAAACCACGGGACTGCTGCGCAGAGCGAGGCCCGGCCGCCTTCAGGGTGGCGGCGTGGAGACCCGTTCCTCGCTCCTCTCTCTCCAGGACCCAGACTCGCAGGCTCACGAGCTTCCGGAGGCTGAACCGGGGCGCGGAAGCCTGGCTTGGCCATGGGTTCGCTCTGAGCCGTCGTTCGGCGGTGTAAGGTTGGGCAAGGTGGCCAGGATGCTAGGTCTGGTGATGCCTCCTGGCCTTAGAAGTTCCCGGAGGCCGTCCGCCCTGGAGGTAGTTACCTCCAACCCAGAGGGAGGCTTCCTCTGACCTCAGCGCGCTGGGCGCAACAGGAGCTGCCCTGGCCAAAGAGGTTAGGCAGCCTGACTCTGTCCTCCTTTGTGAAATTGGAATCGGAGCTATTTCTGTTCCGTCCCACCGCGGCAGCGCTCCAAGTACTCTGTCCAGGCCTCCCCAATGGGAAGGAAAGCCGCCTAGCTGGGTGCTTTGATTTGGTGCCATATCCTTGTGCCCCTTCCCAAACGCCCGCCATCCTGCCATCCTGAGAGTGGCTCTGGAGAGACACCCTTATGAGAAAAGGTGCCCGGCTCACAGCCTTTCCTCCAGCCCTGTGTGACCTTGGACAAGTCGCATCCCGCCTCAGCCTCAGGTCCAGCTTCTGTAAAATGGGGACAGTTTAGCCTCAAGGCCCTATTAGCTCAAATGCTTTTTAAAACGTGGGTTTTCAGGCCTGAAATGAGCGGGGCGGGGGAGGGGCAAAGGGAGGAGGCTGGAAGTGGAGATGTCCTTTGCTGCACCCTTCAAGGCATCCTCACCCCAACCCTGTCCCCTGCCTCTCTTGTGGGAATGCAGAGTCGCCCCTTTGAAGAAATCTAGTCACTTTCGATCCACCATTGTTGGTGCAAAAGCGGAATCTTTAACTCATCCTGGTATCTCTGCGCTGTTATGATCTTTCTGTGTGTGTGTGTGTGTGTGTGTGCGTGCGTGTGTGAAGATCCAGACAGGCAGGGCTCCAGACAAAGAAAAGATAATGCCACCACCCCACTTCCCTGCACCTGAAATTTTCTGATCCCCAAGAGGCTCGCCTAAGACTGTTTCCTGCAGCTGTGCCTGGAAGGGGGTGGGGACGGTCAGCGCAGGAAATTTAACTGCGGTTCAGGGGCAGCTGGGTCTGGGACAGGAACGGAAGGTGGGCTAGAGGACCGACCCAGTGTAGAGGTGTGAGAAAGGGGGCAGAGGTAGAGAGAGGGGAGACCGAATGACCTGGGAGTTTTCTCAGAGTCAACCTGTGCTCTGTCCTCCTTACCAGTTCAGGTCTGGCATGGGCATCCCAGAGCCCCTGTGTTGTGGGATTTATGTTTAATATGAGAGGATCAGTGCTTTTGAATGCACAATGGTGGGACTTGGGACTCCTCCCATGAGCTGCTGGCCCAGGAGAATCTTCAGTGTTTCTGCCAGGACCCTGGCATAGGTAAGCGCTCACAGAACTATTGCCTTCTGGGTATAGACAGCCTGCTCCATGCTTCCTTTTCAAAGAACAGCTCCTTTGGTGGTGGCCCCAGGTTCTCACACCCCCTTGAGAAACTGGGACTC